ACCAATAATGAACTCACAGAAAGAGAAACTAAAAAAACAATCTCATTTACAATCGCAGCAAAAAATTTAAAATACCACCTAGGAATAAACCTAACCAAAGAAATAAAGGATCTATTTTCAGAAAACTACAGGTCATAGAAAAGCAAAATAGAGGAAGATATAAAAAAGTAGAAGCACATACCTTGTTTATGGATTGGAAGAATCAACATCATTAAAATGTCCATACTACCTAAAGCAATCTATAGATTTGACCCGTCCCGCAGGTCGAGCAACGAGGACTCTAGAGGGGGAGTGAGGATGAGGAGGGACAAGAGACAGGAGAAATGGAGACAAGACAGGGCTCTGATCAAGTCTCCTTTATTCTGGGGAGATCCACAGTATATATATGGCAAGAAGCAGAAAAACAAGAACATTTGTTGCCAAGTGATGTTTGTGGTGACCAACCCGAAGCAATTTCAAGTAAATATCATGTAAATATCACAGGTGGAACAAAAGACAAACAGAGCATAACTGGCTGAGTAAATGGTTACTTAAAGGAATGCAGAAACATTGTATGCAGAGAGGCAGAGATTTCCTGCCTTGGGGCAGGAAATGGCAGAGCAGATTTTTGCAAAATGGATGCCATGCAAACAGTCTCCCACATAGATTCAATGCAATCCCCATCAAAATACCAGCAACATACTTCACAGAACTAGAACAAATACTCCCAAAGTTTATATGGAACCAAATAATACCCCAAATAGCCACAGAAATCTTGAAAAAGAACAAATCATGAGGGATCACAATATCAGATATCAGGTTATATTACAAACCCACGGTAATCAAAACAGCCTGGTACTGGCATAAGAACAGGCATATAGATCAATGGAACAGAACAGAGAACCTGAAAATTGAACCAAGTCATTATGCTCAACTAAAATTTACAAAGGTGGCAAGAGCATATGGTGGAGTAAAGACAGCCTCTTTAATAAATGGTTTTTGGAAAATTGGATAGCTACTTGCAAAAAAATTAAGCTAGACTACTAACTTACACCATACGCAAGAATAAACTCAAAAGGGATAAAAGATTTAAGTGTGACTTTTCAATCCATAAAAATCCTAGAATAAAAAGTGGCAACAATATCTTAGACATCACACACAGCAGAATTTTTACTGATACAATGCCTGAGGCAAGAAAAACAAAAGAATAAATTAACACGTGGGACTACATCAAACTAAAAAGCTTCTGCACAGCAACAGAATCAACCATCAAAATGGAAAGGGAACCCACTATATGGGAGACCATAATTTCCAATGATACATCAGATAATGGGTTAATTTCCAAAATATATAGAGTACTCATACTACTCAAGAAAAGGAAGACAAAGAACCCAATTAAAAAATGGGCAGAGGTCCTAAAGAGACACCTCTCCAAACAGGACATACAAATGGCCAAGAGGCATGAAAAACTGCTCAATGTCACTAATCATCAGAGAGATGCAAATTAAAACAACAATCAGGTATCACCTCACACCTGCCAGAATGACGGCCATTAACAAATCATCAAACAACAAGTGCTGGTGAGGGTGAAGAGAATAAGGTATTCTGGTACACTGCTGGTGGAAATGCGGACTGGAGTAGCCACTATGGAAAACAATATGGTGTTTCCTCAAAAATTTAAAAATTGATTTGCCATTTGACCCAGTGATCTCACTTCTAGGAGTATATTCTAAGAAGTCTGGAACACCAATCAGAAAATATATATGTACCCTTATGTTTTTAACAACACTGTTTACAATTGCTAAGATCTGGAAACAGCCCAAGTGTTTATCAATAGAAGAGTAGATAGAAAAGCTGTGGTACATATACACAATAGAACACTATGCAGCTGTAAGAAAGATCTCTTACCTTTGAGACAACATGGAGGAACCTGGAGAGCCAATAAAGCCAATCAGAGAAAGACAAATACCACATGATCTCACTTATTTGTGAGATACAATGAACAAAATAAGCTGATAAGCAAAATAGACCCAGAGACATAGAAAGGAGTATGGTTTCAACTGACAATCCTCAGATGAGGGCAGCTAGGGGGATGGATGAGATAAACCAAAGAACTTATAGGAATGTACGCATAACCAATGGATACATACAACAATACTGCGGTCAGGGAGCAGGATGTGGGATTGGGAGGAGGGTGTCTAGGAGGGGAATAGGGGAAACATCTGTAACAAAAATAAATTAATAAAAATAAATAAATAAAAATATTCATCTAAAAAATAATAAAATGGAAACTACAAAAAAAAAAAAAGAAAGAAAGAATATGGACTAGATATAGTGGGGGAGATTCAGTAGGGTCTAGAGATCAGTCTGCTCAGTGTCCTCTTGTCTCTGAATGGCCAAGCAAACATATGTTTACTAAACATTTGCTTTTCCATCTCCATTTAACGTTCCAAACCACTATCTCTTCTCCTTAGCACAAGTTGGCATATAAACCTCATCTGCCCAATTTGTTTTTGAGCTCCTCATATTCTTCTGAAATGCCTATTTGTATGAACTTAACTTGGATTTTCTCCTGTTCATGTGTGATATGGAAATTTAATTTTTAGACCAGCCAGAAAAACCTAGAAGGGCAGAGAAAAATTTCTTCCTCTCTAACACTATGTTGTTGGACCAATTGTACCAGGACTCTGAAATTGCTCATAATACAAGCAGGAGCAAGGTAAGAAGATGAGTAGGAGAGTTCAATAAAAAGTGGGTGGTACTCAGGAATTGAATAGATAGAGCAAAGAGGATGGAAGCAGAAATTTCTAAGGAAGATGAAAAGGATATTTGCCTAAGAGTTAAAAGGTAATGACCTGGTGGCAGTGATGAGGAGCCTGTACACTACTCACCAGTATCTCCCCTAACTCTAAGAATTTTCTCCTGACTGAAGCAAACTCTCCCACTTCCAGAGATAAGACAGCCTTTATCTTCATCCTATGTTTAGCAACTTAATTCTGCTTTCTGGGATGATTCTTAAATTCCTAGTTTTGTGATCTCATTTTGTTTTTCCATGGGCATCAATTCATGTTCGCAGAATATTTGATGCCTTTTCTCATCAAAACTAATCTGTTCTGTTTTTAATTCCTTAATGTGACAAATATGACCCACTGGAAGTAAGCTGGGTTTCTCACCAGATGATAATGGAGTAACATACTACTCTGCTTAAAAAATATATTTGCATCTTGGAAGATCCTCCCAGAAATATAACAATATAAACCAACCTAGCTTACAAAGTCAGCAGATAAGGCAGCCTTCTTAGTGTACCTCAAAATATAACAGTTATGTGTTTTCTAGGGTTTCTTCTTTTATGAATTTAAATATCACGTGAGCATGTAGCCCAAAGGCAATGCTGTAAATTATTTGAATTTAGGACATGAAAGGAAGATAAACTGGCACAAAGGTATTTTACATTGTTGAGAAGAAGGGGTAGAATAACAGTGTCCTAAACCCATATACATTCATGCAGGACATCCTATGTTCCCAGGATTTCAAGTTGAGCAATGTGTAATTTATGTCGTAGAAAAAACTCCATCCTTGCTTTCTTCTTTATGCTCTGTCTGTAACTGGTCACCATGAAAGCTGTATGACACCTACTAAAACAACCCAATCTATAACAGATGGAAGTTAAGTACCCATAAAATACTGTGGTAGGCATTTGTGGGCAGAGGATATGAAGTATAAAACATGATCCCTGCCCTTAAAAAAAACTTAAAACTTAAAGGAAAGCTAAGACAAATAGACAAGAACAATTAACTAACAAAGTCAGAACCTGTGTTAAAGTAATACTACTTCCTGTCAGCATCAAGGATCAAATACTTTATTGCTTTGGAATTGTTAACATTACCAATGTGTTAGAAAGTTCCCTTGTGTGTTAGAATTTTGTGAAAGATTGCCTTTCCTGAGCACAGACATTTCCCAAACCTGTGTACTATGATGATATCAAGTCAGATCAACAGGCTCCCATCCTTGGCTTCCTGCACAATATGGTGGCACATTTGTCTGTCTATAACACCACCTGGCTAAGCAAAGTAGGTCACATCAAGGCTCTTGGCTCAGAGGCAATGAGAGGCACTGGAACATACTGTAACCTAAAGAGATTATAATGATAGTTTCTGTAGAGAGTTTTAAAAGTAGGAAGACCAATACAAAGATTATAGTTGTAATTATTATCTTTAACTTTAACCCATCTTCCTCTTCCTTTGTTATATACTCTATATACTCTTATAAAAGACACAATTCAACACCTTTCTATTATCTTGCAATAGAGTATTGTAATAAATAATATCTTACACTATGTAGGACATGTTTATTTACAAAAATTCTTCCACATATATAAACTTTTTGATTCTCAAAGCAAACTCCTTAGAAGTGAGTATTATTGACCCAATGTGCATGGGCTTCATTTTAAGTTCAGGCCTCATTTCACTCTACCACCGGGGCTGAGTAAGCAGTTATTTTACCCATTTAATGGGCAGGAACTTCTCTCCTTGTAGAGCAGCTAAGCCTGGTTCTAAGTGTCACTATATTGCTTTCTCTAGACTCTACCTCCTCTACCCACCAACTCTCTCTGTACAATTCAATAGGCAATGACTGAAGATCAACCATGGGCCAACAAATTCATACTAGAAACTGAGATGACTAAATTGACACCCTCCAAGAGTTGCTAACCTAACTTTGGAAATAGGGAAGCAAATTATTATAATATGGCAACTATTACAATGGAAGGATGCACATGGTATTGTGATAGTTCCAAGGAAGGAGTAATTAACTCTGTCTGGTAGGCTTCATTAAGTAAGTGGCAGTTAGGCCAAAAGTTAAAAAGGTGAATAAATGGGGTAGAAAGAGCACTCCAGATGGAATAGCCTGTGCAAAGTTGAAGAAATAGAGAACTGCAAGAAGGCCCATTTAATTTACTTCTCATCCACATCAACATCCAATTTAATTGGAGAAAAACACACAACAGTTTCTTCAGAGCCACTTCCCTCAAGTAAGGTCAAAGGATATTCACACATACCCCTGGATTAGTACTTCACAACTTCTTTCTCTGCAAATGTCCAAATGTTCCCAATTCCTTCTTCACCCTTACCTTATAATTTTGCATTATTATTACACCAAGCAAATTTAATCAGTGAGAAGAGAACTTGTAAAACCACCTGCCATCACATCTAACATCACACATACATCTATTCCCATGTACTCTGTTTTCACCGATGTTAGTGTAGATGATGACTCTCTTAGCCAACTCTTCATTGGATACTAGATTTGAGGCACTCTTGCCTTCTCAAAGACGGTGCTGCAAACAGTTTTCCCTGTCTCTCTCATAACATCATTTCTATCTGCAAAATGAAAATACAAAAATGTTATTACTTCTCAAATCTTATAAAAATGCTTTTGTGGTCCCACTTTCATCCCTCCTACCTCTGCCTTATTATTCTACTTTATTTTGTAACAAAACTCCTTGAAAAAATTACCTTATCCACTGTCTACAGTTCTTCTCCAATTCTCTGTTGAACCCAGTCCAATTAGATTCCCCCCACTATTGCTACCGAAACTGCTCTCATCATGTTTCAATGACCTGCACATTTCAAAATTCAGTGATAATTTTATTGACCTCATCCTACTTAACCTTGACCCACTTGACCCATTTGTTCTCTCCCTTCATGAAACATATTCTCCATTAGGTTTCCAGTACTTCCTGCCCTTCTAATGTCTCCCCTCTTCCTTCAGTGTCCACTCCCTCAAGTTTTCTTTGCTGGTTCCTCCACATCTATCAGAACTTTAATATCTGGAGCTGTGCCTGACCAGTGTGGCTCAGTGGTTGAGCATCAACCGATGCACCAAGAGGTTACTGGTTTGATTCCTAGTCAGGCCACATGCCCAGGTTGTGGACCTGATCCCTAGTGGGGGACATGCAGGTGGTGGCCAATAGATGTTCTTGCTCATTGATATTTCTACTGTCTCTCCCTCTCCCTTCTCTCTCTAAAATCAATTAAGAAAAAAATTAAAGATCTGGCACTGCTAGGGCTTAGTCCTTGGACTTCTTCTCTTCCTTATTTATTCTCACTCTCTAGCTGATTTCATCCTGTCTTATAGCTTTAAATATCAAGTAAACCACACATGAGTTTCACCTGAATCTCTCCTCTAACTTCAAATGCCTATATCTAACTGTGTGCTCAAAATGTTGTGTGTATATCTCAAAATCACAGCTAAAACAAACAAACAAACAAACACTGATATTTCCCCTAAAACCTACCCTTCCCATGATCTCTAACACACAAATTGAAACTGCCTCCATCCTGTGGCTTAAGTAGAAATCCTTAGTATTATTACTGATTCTTCTTTTTTCTCATATCCTATATTCAATCAACTAGAAAATCCTCTTTTACCCACATTTAAAATATATACATAATCATAATTCTCACCATCTTCACCACTTTCATCATGGTCCAAGCCACAGTCATTTCTGGATTATTATAAAAACTCCATTGTTTGTCTCTTTGCTTATACTCTTTTTTTGAATCCCATTCTACCCTTCAGACAGTAGCTGGGATTGGGATGTTTTTTTTAAAAATGTAAGTTATAGCATACCATTCAACTAACTTTCTACCTCAATAAAATAAAAACCAGAGTTACACTACATAATACATGATACACCCCTTCCACCTCTTGGCCAACTGAATGGACTAAAGGAGAGAGGAAACTGGGATGTATGACACTGAAGAGTTAGTTGATGAACAACCTTTTAACCAAGATAAGGAGTTTAGACTTTATTTTACTATAATGGGTAGTCATCAAAGGTTAAGAATTTTAATAAGCTAGCTATTTCCAATAACTCTTCTCTATTTCTAGGATCCAACCCATATATGACTTTCTATACAAATCCTGACTTGATTTCTCTACCAATTTCCAATCTTCATCCAGAAATCCAGCCACAGCAAACTCCTTGCTTCTCCTTTAATATTTCACATTTCTAAACCTCCGTGCCTTTGCCCTCTCTGTTCCTTCTGCCTGGAATGCCCATCATTACTTTGTCTGTCTGAAACAGGTCTACTCATCCATCTTGACTCACCTGAAGTGCCATTATCTCTGTGAAGCACTCCCTGACTGCCTCAGGGAGTTATGTGTTTTCTTCCTTGGGCTTTCAGAGTAAATTTTACCCACCTCTATTATAGATATTATCACCTCACTGTAGATATTTATTTGCATATTGAAAAGTCCTAAGAGGACAGGATTCATAATCAGTTCCTAATGAGGCCCCTGTACTTTGCACACACAGTGTCTTCAACACAGTTACTCAACACATGTTTGTTGAATGAAAAGGAATCAGCAAAATAGAATTAAAATTAGTAGAGGAAATGTATAAGAGATGCCAGGCAAGTAAGATGTCATCAAAACCAAAAGAAGAGAACTTTTCAAGAAATAAAGAGTGGTCAGTACTCCAGAAATTTAAATAAGTTGATAGAAGTTATTTTATTTGCCAAGTGGGAGAGATTTGGAGATATAATGGTCAAGGTTTAGTAGCATAAATAGAAATTATATTTAAGCAGTGATCTGATGTGAAGAATTGGTGTTCAAAACATCATTAAAATGGTTAGAGAAGTGGGGTCTAGGCTGCAGTACTGAAATCCTAAAACAACACTGCAGAATTGTCCTGCAGAGTAACCCCAGGCTTTGCCACAGAAGGAAAGTTGGAAACAAGAAAGCCACCACTGGAACTGTTGGCCACTATACCTGCTAGGTCTACACCAGCCAAAACACATCTCCTACACCCTGCCTCTTGATACCAATTTGTGGTCCCTAAATCTCTGCTAATGCTGCCACAGGAAAACACATCTCTATGATTATGTGCATTAATTTTCTTTGCTGTGTAACAAATTACCACAAACTCTGAAAATAGTACCTACTTATTATCCCAATTTTGTAGGTCCAAAGTCCAGACAGGCTCTACTAGATTCCCTGCTTAGGGTCTTACCAGATGGAAGTCAAGATGTCAGCAGGCTAGGTTCTTATCCAGAGGCCCTAGGGAAAAAATTATTTCCAAATTCATTCAAGTTTGGCAGAATTCAATTCCTTGCAGTGGTAGAACTGAGCACTTTGTTATCTGATTATTGGCTAGGAGTCACTCTAAATTTCTAGAAGCCATTTATAATTCTTTCCACTGGCCTCCTTTCAGGTCCTCTCACAGGGTCATAGGTGGTACAAGATACCTCATGTGGAACCCTCTTCACACTACTCCCTTTGACCGCCATTACTGCCTCCAGCCAGAAAAAAAACCTCTGCTTTTAGATGAGCTTATGTGATGAGATTAGACCCACTCAGATCATCTCTCTATTTTAAGATTAACTGTGCCATATAACATAATATCATCAGGGGAGTGGAACCTCATCTTATTCACAGGTTCTCAGAATTAAGATATGGAACTTTGGGAGCTATTTTTATAATCTATCACATATCACATTTACCAGAAAAAGCAATACAACCAAAAATATACCTTTTATCTTCTAAATTAGTTAAAATTCTCCAGAGAAACATAACCAATAAAATGTATGTCCATATAGAAATAGATTTATTATAAGGAATTGGCTGACATGGTTGGAGAGGCTGACAAGTTCCAAGATCTGATAAATTCGAAGATCTGCAGGGTGAGCTGGCAAGCTGCAGACCCAGAAGAGCTAATGGTACAATTCTAGTCTAAAGGCCCACAGGTATGAATCCCAGACAAAGCTGATGTTTCAATCTGAGTCTGAAGATAGGAAGAAACTAACGTCCCAGTTTGAAGGCAGTCAGGTAGGAGGAATTCTCTCTTGGGAGAGTCAGCCTAATTGGATGAGGTGCACCTACATCAGGGAAAGTAATCTGCTTTACTCAGTCTACTGATTCAAATGTTAATCTCATCCAAAACACTTTCACAGAATATCTAATATAATATTTAACTAAATATCGGGACACCCTATAGCCCAGTCAAGTTGACACATAAAATTAACCATCACACTTTCTGAATCTCGCGACTCACAAATGATCCTCAATCTCATGATTGGCTAAAACAAAGTTTTATCTAGAAACTCAGCTGCAGAGAATCAGGCAGTTCAGGAAGGTACATTTGAACAGTGTCTTTTAAACATTTTCACCCCAATCTATTATAAAAAACAAATAATGCATCACAATTCAGTGTAAGCATACACACATAAATAGTAAAATTTTCATGAAACATTACTTATACATACTAAATTTTTCTGATATTTTCTTTATGATTCTATTTTATTTTATTTTATGGGTACAAGTCCTATTATTTTATTTTTTAATTAATTAATTTATTTTTGTTACAGGTGTTTCTCCCTTTCCCCCCACTGATTGCGCTGTGGCCCGCCCTCCCCACGCTGTCCCCAGTTTTGTTGTCCATGTCCATTGTTCATTCATACATGCATAAAAGTTCTTGGGTTTATCTCACACCCACCATCACCTCTTCTGGAGATTGTCAGTCTGTACCCCACTTCCATGTCTCTGGGACTACCCCATTCCTCAGACTATTATGTTCATTATATTCCACAAATAAGTGAGATCATATGATACTTCTCTTTCTCTGTTTGGCTTCTTTTGCTTAGGATAATACTTTCGAGGTCCCTCCATGTCGTCTCAAAAGATGAGAGATCTTTCTTTCTTACAGCTGCACAGTACTCCATTGTGTATATGTAATACAGTTGTTTTTTTTTTTTAATCCTCACCGGAGGACATTTTTCCATTTTTTGTTCAGGTAGAGTGGGAGGGAGAGAGAGGAACAGAGAGAGAGAGAGAAACATCGATGTGAAAGGAACACATCGAGTGGCTGCCACCCGCACAACCGACCAGGGCCGGGGACAAACTGCAACCGAGGTACATGACCTTAGCGGGAACCGAACCTGGGTCTCTCAGGACTGCAGGCCGACACTCTAACTGCTGAGACAAACCGGCCAGGGCAATACAGTTTTTTTATCCATTCATCTACTGATGGACATTTGAGCTGTTTCCAGATCTTAGCTATTGTAAATAGTGCTGCTACACACATGGGGGTACATATATTCTTTCTGATTGGTGTTTCAGGCTTTTTAGGGTATATTCCTAGAAGTAGGATCACTGGGTCAAATGTCAGTTGAATTCTTAATTTTTTGAAGTAACACCATATTGTTTTCCATACCGGCTGCACCAGTCTGCATTCCCACCAGCAGTATACTAAAGTCCCTTTTTCTCCACACCCTCGCCAGCATTTGTTTCATGATTTGTTGATCATGGCCATTGTGACAGGTATTAGGTGATACCTCATTGTTGTTTTAATTTGCATCTCTCTGATGATTAGTGATGTTGAGCATTTCTTCATATGTCTCTTGGCCATTTGTATGTCCTGTTTGGAGAGGTGTCTATTCAGCTCCTCTGCCCATTTTTTAATTGGGTGCTTTGTCTTCCTTTTATGGAGTTGTATGAGCACTCTATATATATTTGAAATTAACCCCTTATATGAAACCTCATTGGCAATGATGTTCTCCCATACAGTGGGTTGCCTTTCCAGTTTGATGAATGTTTCTTTTGCTGTGCAGAAGCTTTTGAGTTTGATGTAGTCCCATGTGTTCAGTTTTTCCTTTGTTTCTGTTGCCTTAGGTGATGTATCAGTGAAAATTCTGCTCCGTATGATGTCTGAAATTTTGTTGCCTACATTTTTTTCTAGAATTTTTATGGATTCACAGGTCACATTTAAGTGTTTTATCCATTTTGAGTTTATTTTTGTGTATGGTGTAAGTTGATGGTCTAGTTTCATTTTTTTGCATGTAGCTGTCCAATTTTCCCAACACGATTTTTAAAGAGGCTGTCTTTACTCCATGTATGCTCTTGCCACCTTTGTCAAATATTGAGATTATTGCCTTGGGTCCATTTCTGGATTTTCAGTTCTGTTCCACTGGTCTATATGCCTGTTCTTGTTGTGCCAGTACCAGGCTGTTTTGGTTACAGTCGCTTTGTAGTATAACCTGATATCTGGTATTGTGATCCCACCTACCTTGTTCTTCTTCAAGATTGCTGTGGCTATTCAGGGTCTTTTTTGGTTCCAAATGAACTTTTGAAGTATTTGTTCTAGTTCTATGAAATATGTCATTGGTATTTTGATGGAGATTGCATTGAATCTATAGATTGCTTTGGGTAGTATGGACATTTTAATGATGATAATTCTTCCAATCCATGAACAGGGTATGTGCTTCCACTTTTTAATATCTTCCTCTATTTCTTTTTTCAATGACCTGTAGTTTTCTGCAAACAGGTCCTTTACTTCTTTGGTTAAGTTTATTCCTAGGTATCTTAATTTTTTTGGCGTGTTGGTGAATGGGATTTTTTTTCAGTTTCTGCTTCTGTGAGTTCATCATTGGTGTACAACAATGCCATGGATTTCTTGACGTTAATTTTGTATCCTGCTACTTTGCCAAAATCATTTATGAGTCTAGGAGATTTTTGATGGAGTCTTTAGGGTTTTCTTTGTATAATATCATGTCATCTGCAAATAATGACAGTTTCACTTCCTCCTTTCCAGTTTGGATCCTTTTTATTTTTTCTTCATGTCTGATTGCTGTGGCTAAGACTTCCAGTACAATGTTAAATAAGAGTGGTGAAACTGGACATCCGTGTCTTGTTCCTGTTCTTAAGGGAAATACTTTTAGTTTCTGTCCATTGAGTATGATGTTGGCTGTACGTCTTTCATATATGGTCTTTATTATGTCGAGATATGATCCCTTTATTCCTACATTGCTGAGCGTTTTTATCAGAAATGGATGCTGGATTTTGTTGAATACTTTTTCAGCATCTATAGATATAATCATGTGGTATATATTCTTCATTTTGTTTATGTGGTGTATCACGTTTATTGATTTGCAAATTGTACCAGCCTTGCATCCCTGGAATGAATCCCACTTGGTCATGGTGAATAATTTTTTTGATGTATTTCTGGATCCAATTTGCTAATATTTTGTTCAGGATTTTGGCATCTATGTTCATCAGGGATATTGGCCTGTAGTTTTCTTTCTTCGTAGTGTCTTTTTCTGGTTTTGGAATTAGAATTATGCTGCCCTCATAGAAGGTGTTTGGAAGTCTTCCTTCTTCTTGAATTTTTTGAAATAGTTTGAGGAGAATGGGTGTTAGTTCTTTTTGAATGTTCGGTAAAACTCCCCCGTGAAGCCATCTGGGCCTGGGCTTTTGTTTGCTGGGAGAGTTTGATTACCTCTTCAATTTCCTTAGTTGTTATTGGTCTGTTCAAGTTTTCTATCTCTTCCGGGTCTAGTTTTGGGAGACTGTGTGTTTCTAGAAATTTGTCCATTTTGTTTAGATTGTTGAATTTGTTGCCATATAGTTGTTCATAGTAGTTGTTAACAATCTTTTGTATTTCCGTGGTGTTGGCTGTTACTTCTCCTCTTTCATTTCTGATTTTGTGTATTTGGGTTCTCTCTCTTTGTTTCTTGGTGAGTCTAGCTAAGGGACCATCAATCTTGTTTATCTTTTCGAAAAACCAGCTCTTTGTTTCATTGATCCTTTGAATTGTTTTTTTTTTTTTTTTTGGTCTCTATGTCATTTATTTCTGCTCTGATCTTTACTATTTCTTTCCTTCTACTTTCTCTGGGGTTTTCTCTTTGTTTGCTTTCTAATTCTTTAAGTTGTGGGGTTAGACAGTCAATTAGAAATTTTTCTTGTTTTTTGAGGTAGGCCTGTAGTGCTATGAACATCCCTCTCAGAACTGCTTTCGCTGCATCCCATAGATTTTGTGTTGTTGTGTGTTCATTTTCATTGGTTTCCAGGAAGTTTTTAATTGCTTCCTTGATCTCTTCGGTGACCCATTCATTGTTTAATAAGAAGCTATTTAGCCTCCATGTGTTGAAATGTCTTTGCATGTTCTTTTTTGCAATTGATTTCTAGTTTCATGCCATTGTGATCTGAGAAGATGCTTGATATGATTTCAATCTTCTTGAACTTGTAGAGATTTAGTTTGTGTCCTATCATGTGGTCTATCTTTG